GGTCAGGAAAGGGGGCACTCCGCAGCCAGGGTCTGTGGTCAGGAAAGGGGGCACTCCACAGCCGGGGTCTGTGGTCAGGAAAGGGGGCACTCCGCAGCCGGGGTCTGGGGTCAGGAAAGGGGGCGCTCTATAGCCAGGCCTGGGGTTGGGAAGGGAGGCTTTCTGCAGCCGGAGTCTGGGGTCAGGAAAGTGGCACTCCATACCCGGTGCCTGGTGAAGGAGGCCATCCCATGGCCTTAGCAATGAGGGGGTCAACAGTGACCTTCCCCAGCCCTCCCCCACAGGGCAATAACCCTATCCCAGCCTGGACTTCTTCCCATTTTAGGGGCTCCTTGTAGAGACACATCCACATATGACATCTGCCTCTGTGCTCACCCCCAGCCCAGGTCCCAGAGGGAACGTGGACAGAGCTCCCACTCCCTTACCTGCCGCTCAGGTGCATGCCTGGGTTTTCACCAGTACCGTCCATGCCTGCACCCTCATGTCCTGGCATGAACCCTGCTTTCACGCTCCTACACCCCTACCCTGTACATGATTCCACCTCCTCTCGCATTGGACCAAGCACTCTGGGCTGCTCCAACTCACAGATGCTGGTGGGATAAGGGCAGTGGCTCTGGCGTCCTGCAGGCTGGGTTCCAATCTTCATTCTGCACCTGTGTGACCTTGGACAAGTTACTTAACTCAGCCTCTATGTTTTTACCTGAAAAATGGGGGTGATACTGCCTCCTGTATGAGGTGGTCGTAAGCGGGTCAGATGAAGTCTTCCATGTGAAACATCAGCACAAAGCAGGCACTCAGTGACATCAGCTGCACCACGTTCACTTCTGCTGCACACACTCGTAAGTGGTGCACACTCGGGTCCATCCAGGCTCTGAATGAAGCTTCCACACATGTACATGTCACCCTCACACCTGTGACCTCCTGCACATACAGGCCGGACCACGCACACACAACCACACCATTCACAGATGCAGCCATGTGTGTGCCGTGACCTGACCCATTCCCGAGCACACCCTGAGGAAGCCCATCTATGAAATTCACAAACCTGTGAAATTCCACAGCCCCTTGGGTTCTGACTCTCACTTCGCTGCACCCCTCCTGTCCCTGCTGTTTTCTAGTGGCTGAAGCAAATAGAGGGGACTGAGGCCGCCCTGACCCAGAAGATGCTGGACCTGGAGAAGGAGAAGGTAAAAGATTTGACTGCCTGGGGGTGGAGGGAGAGGGTTCAAAGAGCTCAGAGAAGTCGATCTGCAGGAAGGCTTTGCATGTGTTTTCCTAATGATTTACATGCATTTCTCAGTTTTGCTTTTGCCGCAGTGGTTGTTCTGAGTAATTATCACTCATTTACTTACTCTTTCACTTGCTCAATTATTCATTTAATACATATTTTCAGAGCCTCTGCTGTGTCCCAGGCACTATGCCAGGATTAGAGGCTTAGTAATGAATAAGTGGGGTCCCTGCCACCAGGAACAATCTCACAGGCCTGCAGGGTCATGCGTTCATGAGCTCACGTGAATGCAGCATAAGGATGTTGGGAGAGCCATAGCCCAGACATGGAGATGCTGGCGCATGCGTGTGGAACACACAGATGGGGCTCAACTCTTTGCTGGCTATGACAGCTTGGAAAACTGGACTTTAGTTTTCTCATTGATGAATGAGGAATTCCAGTCTGCTTTGCTGGGTTGTGGGATGAGAAATGCTAGATCCATAAGCAGTGCTGCACTGTGCTTGGCACCTTGGGTACCTGATAAACGGTAGTGGTTGGTGGTTATTCACATGGATGTATGGGGAGCCTGGGGAGGTCAGAGAAGGCTTCCCAAAAGATGTGTTTCTTGAGTAGTCAAAGGCCAATTTGAGTTCTCCAAGGAGAAATGGAAAGGGGAGGAGAAGGAGGAAGGTGTAGGACTAGTGTGGGCTGGGAGCACAGCGTGGCGCGGAAAGAGCCCTGGACTGGTGCCGGAAGGCCTGGGTTTCTACTCTCTCCTCTGCCACCTCTGAACTGTGCCATCTAAGGCAAGGTTCTGGTCCTTTCTGGCTCTCTCTTTCCTTGTCTATAAAAGGAAGTGGCTGCAGGAGATGAACTGTAACCCTGAAACCCACAGTCATAAAAAGAGATTTGCACTCTGGAGAGATCATGCTGGCAGGGTCTTAGAGAGGGATGTGGGAGGCAGGGAGAAGAGTGCGCAGTGAGACCAGTCGGGCAGTGGGTGACGCAGCTCAGGCAGGCGGGAAGAGCCACATCTGAGAACCATGAAGACAGTCTTTGAGGGGCACTAGGACATGGCAGGAGAAACCCAGAAGGACTCCGTGACTTGCGCCTGGGTTTGAGGTGGGTCCCTTCATTACAGTCAGGTACCCAAGAGGAAGGGAAGCAGGGGGAATGGGGTAGTCTTGACCGAGGATCAGGCCTGGCTGTCAAGGGTGCCCAGGGTCCGTGAGGCTCCTGCTGGGCGATTCATGTGGGGGCAAGTGGGGAATACCGTCAAGTCCCTTCTCATCTGAGTGCCCCCAATTTGGTGAGACTGCCGCTCTAGCAAACGGGCTCTGAAGCTGTCATGGATTCCTGTTCTGACGCTGGTCCCTGATGGCGCCTCCCTCTTTCTCAGGACCTGTTCAGCAGGCAGAAGGGCTACCTGGAAGAGGAGCTCGACTACCGGAAGCAAGCCCTTGACCAGGCTTACCTGGTAGGACCAGAAGTGGGTTTGACACTTTGGCTTCTTAGACTCCCCATTAGAGGCTGCTTTTTCCTTCGGGGCTGAAAGTGCATTTAGGGCGCTCCCCAGTGCCAAACGGGAGTGATGAAAATGCCATCTCCACCCTGCGGCTGGAACGATTGTACAGACTGTCACTTCTTTTGTACAGACAATCACTTCTTCAATTGTGATTGTCAAAAATATTCAGTCACTTTAATGGTTTTCTTAGACATGCTTCTTACATTCTAGTAATCATTTGAGATGAATGGGAAGAAACTGTGTTTCTATATGTTTGATTACACTTAAGTATTTAGACTTAAAGTCCCAAAGCAAGTTTTCCTGTAAATAGGAAAAAGAGGTGATCATAAAGGAACGCAGAGGTAAAGCAATGAGATGACGCCAAGTGGCTTTCAGAACCGAAGGGACGAGGTGTAAAGTCAGGTGTCATATTGCGTTTGGGTTGAAATTGGCTCTGGGCGTCCTGGTGATAAAGTACAGTGGGATGCTGTTCAGGCTCCTTCGTCCTCACACTCAAAGCTGCCTGTTCCTGGCACTGAGAGAAATTCTCCTTGGGGGTGGGGGGGAGTTGAGTATAAGGAATACTCGTCCCTGCAGGAGAGAGAATGTGGAGTTCAATGCCATTCCTTGTAGGAGGAAGCTAGTGTGTCACAAAGTCTTGAGCAAATCTGTGCCCAGATCACTTATAGTTAAAAGCGTTTTAAAAATTGGTTTTGCACCTACAAAATGCAGATCCAATCACTAAGAAAATGACTTTAAAACCTGACTTCCCACAAGAGGCTCCAGGAAGACAGAGCAGATAGCCTGAGCTCAGCTCAGATGGACAGGAGGTTCTAGGCGTCAAGCCAGTGCAGCTTGCTGTGGCCCTCGGCCCTTCTGTCAAGGCTGAGGCTTGAATCCCATGGGACTGGGAGCAGGAGATGAAGAAGATCAGAATGGACCAAGCCTTATCAACACACAGCACTTCCCTCTGGGTTCTTAGTTTCCGGGCACACGATGTTTCAGCAGTGTTGAGGGCTACTAACAAGTGGAGACATTCTCATCTATACACTGGTCTGTCTCCTGCCTCTCTAGTCTTTTAGATTGTTCCTTGTTTTCTCCCAGGCTTGGTCCTTTTGAAAACACCCTGAAGGATGGGCCATCCCCATCACACATCGCTGTTTTCCCCTAGCATTTCCCAAAAAACTCCAAGGAATGTTATGTTCAATGTTCAGAAACCTAGGGCCCCCCAAAACATAGTGCAGTCGAGTAAGTTGTAAAACTCTGGAGGACTTCTTGGAGTCTTAGTGTTGTAAAGGATGTGCACACCACTCGCTTACATTCCTCTCAGAGCCTTAACCCACGCAGGCTTTCGGATGCTCCAAGTGTGAAGGCAGCTTCTATACGGTGTCTAAGAAAACCATTAAAGTGACCTGAGGGGTCCCTTGAAAAAAGGTCCCATGATCCACTGGCATTTCCCAAAACACATTTCGGATCACCTTGGGGTCCACCCTTCCTCTAAGATTGGTCTAAGCACCAACTCAGCAAGGCCTGAGGGACCCCTCAGAGTGCTGGCTCTGCAGAAGGGGCCCCTGCATGCTGCTTCTGCCACCGTATAGAAGCTGCCTTCACACTTGGAGCATCCGAAAGCCTGCGTGGACCGTGTGCTCCCAGTGGCATTTCAGTCACATGGCTAGACAGGAGTTCTGACGCGCCCTAGTTTATCATGAACAGCCCGGAAGTGAAATGCTCTGAGAGGGTGGCAGGGCCATGTGTCCACACTGGGGCCAGGACTGCAGGTGCCAGATGCAAGCCTGTGTCCCTTTGCCACTGAGCTGAGTGAGTTGGAGTGGGCCCGCAATGGGGTTTCCAGAATCGAGTGGTGCGTTTCCATCTGGAAACTGGCCATGTGAGGCCTCCTGGGAGCTCGGCTGCTGAGTGGGGAGGGGGCGAGCCTGCAGGCACCAACCAGCAAGCCCTGCTCCGTGTGGAGCCCATCGGGGGTCCCACGGCTCTGTCAGGAACAGATTCCAGCCTTCTAATTCCCCAGAAGCAACTGCTGGGGTGGACAGAGGAGAAGGTGATCATGTCTGTTGGTTAAAATCAGTCTGGCCTGATGGGCCTGGATCCCAATAGGGAAAAGACAGAGGAGACTTGAGGAGCAGGCAGCCTGATGGTGATGGAGGGCTACCGGGTTAACCTCTGTCTTGGTGAAGGAGGGCTACTGGTTAACCTCTG